TGGTGAAATACTTTGTTGTGTAGTTGTTGTGTGTACTGTTTCTTCATTTATGAAGTGTGATGGTGTCTGGATATCTTGTTGAGTAAGATTCCTAGTTCCATTGAGGTTTTCATTGTGTATGACTGTAGAGTTTAAACTATTATTTTGCATATCGGGTAAAAATGTATTATAGTTTAATGGTGTTGCATCAATGGTTAATGGTATTACTCTTACATAATCTCTTATATAAGATATCGTACTTATTGCTTGACTTGAGATTGACTGTGGGAAGTTTATAAATGCGGGATGAGATCATTCGGGGTCCCAAACATAGTCTGATTGTTCTGTGATAGCAGTATCATCGTTTGAGTTTTTGGGTCTAAAATTTATTCTTGCTTGTGAAATTAAATCAATATTGTGTGTGAAATAATCTATTATGAACCATGCCCAAATTTTCTGTAAGTCATGTTTTGTATGTTGTGAAACTTCATTTTTCGTGAAATTTTCTTTAATGATATTTAGAAAACTAGAGAGTAGTGTGAGTTCATGTCGTACTCTTATATGTTTCGATGTTTCTGTCGGTGAGACATTTGGTATTTGGATTTCGTTTTCTAATATCGAGATATAACTATATATTATTGCAAAAACTTCATTTGTGAATATGGAGTTTGCTCTTTGTGAGTTATGTATTGGATGCTTTTTATATATTCTGAGAATACTTTTGAAAATTCTAAATCAAGGTCGTCTGTTTGAATTATATATTTACTGTGATTCTGGTTTGGTGAGCTGAATTCTATGGAGTAGATTCCGTATTGTTGTGTTAGGTTACATATATCTTTTAGATAGTGATCGATATTTTGTCTTTTAATTTTTACATCTGGGAACTCTGTTTTACATGGACTGATTCCGGGTTCAAATAAATTTAAAAGTAATTTTTTGCAAAATATATGCTGTCCTCTATCAGTGGTTGCATCTACTATAAAGGGGAAGATATCATCATCATCTGGACTTTCTTCACCTGGGGTGTGCGTTGAGCTCATTTTTTCGTTCGATGACTGTTAATATGTAATTATCAATGTGTCTAATTGGTTGATTCCAATTGTATAAATGTACTGGTTTGTGTTTATACTGCTTTTTTATTCTTCTTTTTCCTCTTTTTGATGAATTTGAAGTTGTTTCTGAGTCAGAGAAATATAATTGATCGTGGATTGGACAATTTTTATCTTTTGATTCTTTTAGTTTATAAAGTTCGTCTAAACTGTTGGTTTCTGATTCTGAAAATGCGTTTCGATTTTTTGAAAATCTTTTTTGTGTTATTTGTCTTTGTATAGTTATTATTTTTCTCTTTCGTGTTTGTCGTTTTGTTCGAATGTATCCAACTGTTTGTGTATGAGGTGTGATTACAAGGTCGTATTTTTTGTTATCTATTTCACAATTGTGTAAAACGATTGTTTGTTAATTTCCTAGGTTTTTAAATGACATAAGGTTTAGGATGACGGGTGCAAAAGGTTGTTAAATGATTTCTATTTGCTTAAACTGTTAGTCCTTACGATTTTTTGGTTAGCTTAACCTGGGTCTATTTGTTCAGGGTTGGAGAGAAAAGTATATCTATTCCGAAGAATGATTTTTTACTTTCTCGTGGCTAGTATAAGCTAAGGTGTTAACTTACTTAATCTTACTTAGGGGTAGTGATTGTGTTCAAGGGTTGGAGAATAGTAAATCGATCCACAAGGTTCAGGTATAATTAGAACGCGAGTAGTTCGTTAGATACTATTTTAAACTTACTAAGTCTAAGATTTATCCTGGGTCTGGTAAGAGGGGGGATCAAGTGAAGGATGAATAACCGAAGTTCTTCACTGTTTATCCTAATTTGAATGTTAGTTTTGTTTAAAAATTTCTATTAGTCCTGGGTTTTCAGAAAGGGTTGGATAGTGAATCGACGTTTGAGGTCGTTAGACACTAGTTAAGTGGGTGGGGGAGAACAAAGTTGTTCTTTTTGATCCAAGGATAGGCCTTGATGATCAAGTTTTAAATTTAATTAAGTAGAAAATGATTTAAGATCCAAGGATAAGCCTTGATGATCTGATTTTAAAATTAAGTGAATTTAAGTTTTAATAATATTAATTTTGTGTAGAGAAAAGATTTAGTGTTTTGATGATATTAGTGAGCTTATGAATGCTGTTATGTTTAGGTGATGAAGCTGGAACACCAGGATGATTTATGATCATTAACCATTTATTGTCATGCTACTAATTTTTATTTTGATTTTCCAATAAACATTTTTGTATATTACTGCAGAATTTAGGAAAACGATCTGAGATCTTTTTATCAATCGTTATTGTATATTAATAATTTTGTTTAGCGCCTGTAATGATTTTGAAGATTGACTTCAAGGTTTTATGTTTGCAAATGAAAATCTAAATTCATTGCCAGTAGTATTCTAAATATAAAAGTTTGTTCTGGCTTTTGCCGAACTATCATATAACTATATGGCAAGTTTCTACTTTGTCGTATGTCGTCTCTGGTTCGAGGTCTTCTTCCAATTCCGGGTAGTTCTGTTATCGTTCGGAATATTGGCTTTGATCTATTGAGTCGTAGAGACATTTCGATTAAATTATCGTCATATAACATTTTGTAAAGGTTTTGTCTAAATTCTAATCTATTATTGGTTAATTCTAAGCGATTAAGGTCTTGTTCGAGACTTATGGTCGCACCAGATGAGTTAGGACCGAAGTGTATAACTCATAGAGTAATTTCGGATAGGGTACACCGTCTGCTCGTCACGCTATCTTATTTTCGGCCGGATAGATTCGTGCAACTTCTTAGTCTAATACCGATCCTAATCTTACTCTTATACTATCTAGTCTCAGGGTGTTTAACTAGTCTCTGCTAGGCTCAATAGATCTAGGGTATACTGGTTTATTGCGGCTGCTGAAGTACTCGGGAGAGTTCAACTAATTTCTAAGTTAAATTCAAATCTCTCTGGTGCTGAAATTACAAGTAATTTCAGCACTTACAAATAAGTGGATTGTTAGTTAGATGGATCATGATTGGTTAATATTAAATACTTTACATTGATAAAATATCTAATTTATCCAATCATAAAATGTAGTTTAGATCAGGTTCCAATAACGATCAATTTCATTAAACACGTTCACTTCGACCTACTAAGCGTGGACGTAGTGCGCCGAATTAAAGCTGTTAACTAGAGCATCTACGTTTTGACATGATGGCCTCAAACGTTTTCCGATGCTTATCGATTCCTAAGAGTGGGTACTACAGGAACTGTAAAAAATGAGGGCATGGGTTAAGTCTGTGGTCGAACTGTGTTTTTTTTCTGAATGAAGCACAGGAAAAAACACCAGGCTTACTGCTTTCGTGGAGTTTAAGACAGTTCCGAGACAATTGATCTGCTGCAACAAGCAAATTACAGCATGTTTTGAGTGGCAAACTGAGCCCGTTGAGCGCTGCTTGAAGACACAACTGTTTTTACCCTTGTTCAAGAGGCACGGAACATCGGTTAGCTTTTGAATAAGTTTGTGGATAGTTTGATGAAACCACTCTCTGATGTCTAGCCTGAGTGTACTTTTTATGCATTTACACATCAAATCATGTACATCAGAGCTGTCGCGGAGCAATCAATGAAATTAAAAACTTTTAGCTGTTTCCATTATCTCTATACAGTTTGGTGAGACTAGGAATATATCAGATCTGGAGGCCTCTGGGAAAAAAAGCTGAATCAAACTAAGGTTTTCTTTCAGTCGTATTCATAACCTAAAGGTTTCAGAAGGGCAAAAAAATGTTTTCAAATGAAGCAACTTTGATGAATTTTTCTGAAAAGTGCATTCTAAACAGAGGTAGGTTTGCTGGGCTTAAGGCGTCTTTTTTTGTTAGCAATTAGTAGATTTTTCAGTGTTGAATTTTTCACATAAACAAAAAAAAACGTTCGATTGATTGTTGAATTCTGTTTAATGTCAAGTCAAGCAGCCGCCGAAGAAAAGAGCCATTGCAAGGTTTCTACAGCTCTCGTTGCTCGCGCAAAAGAAGAAGAAAAGAAAATGAGAAAAAACTTAGTCAACTATTTTAATTTTTTAGGCTTCTATCTATGCAATTTATGCAATTTTTTCTGAAAAGTTGAAATCGATTGGAAACAACCGCGAATTGTTCTTTGGCGAAAAAATTCTCTTCATTTTTAACGTCCATAAAACACTGGAGTTTGTGACTTTATACCTAAAACGGGTCGCTACTATGATTGTTTCTATTGATAAATTCTTTGGGTTGATTTTAAACCATTAGATCTCCAATTTGGCCAAAATTTGGGTCCAGTTTGCCCAAAACTTTTGGTCTAAATTTGAGATTTTCTTGTCACCTTTTGTTTTATCTGAAAGCAAAGATTTATCGTAGAAAAAACAAGCTCAAAAAGATTTCTTTAATCGGTGATATTTTCAGCGGTAGTTAAAAGACAACACAACCAAAACATCAGCTAACTTTTAATAACGCTAAAAATTACTTCAAAAAAACGTCACAAAAAAAACGTTTCAATTTTGATTTGATTCACAATTTCAGAAACATTTTTCAAAATTTCAGAACACTTAAGCTATAAGTCTTTGAAAACCCAAGATCACAAGACAAAACATCTTGAAAGCCAGGCCGAAAACAAATGGCAAATAAAAGGGAATATAATCGAGTACATTTGATTGAAATGGACTTTAGCGCATGACAAAAAACATAAAAGTAGATCCAAAATACTCGTCTCCCCGTACTGAACTTTGTAGTTAAATTTAAATCTGGATATCAAAAATATATACAAAACCCATATCTGTATCAGTCCTGTGGCATGCCATTTTCCACTGTAAATGTCTGTAACAGACATGTACCAGGCATGAGAATTATGAAAAAATCAGATCTTGAGTCAGATATGGCCAGACTTCAAGTAAACCTGGACTAGATATGATCATTTCTGAAATTGCAAGACCATGCCTGGATCAAACATGATCAAGCTCGAAATTGCGTGATCAGATTTAAAGCAGACTTATCATGATGGTAGTGCAAGACCGGGACACTCCGTGAGTCAACTGAAGCCAAGCTTCGGTGTTAAATCGAGAAGCAAAAACCAATTTGAAATTGGTGCCAGGCAATGCCCAGCATTCCAGATATTATGCTGACAAGAACAGATACTACACATTATCATATCCAAAAGGACGAGGAGTGATAATAGAAACAAATGACCTTTTTTTTACATGCCTCAGACACAACAGAAAAACAACAGCTCGGATCATAAAACTTTTAAAGTATCCGACTGGATTGGGAGCTAGGTCGCTCCCGAAACAATACATACTGGATCAAGGTTAATTGTTAAAAATAGGCGGTCATTATGTTTCTTTGCCGTATCAAAACACCCTGCCGGCTTGTAATTCTATCGTAAAACTACAGTGGACTACATTATAACCATCTGCGTTTCTGCCGTTACATGGCGCTATTTTTTTTCTACATGATCAGACAGACCTAATGCAGGTATAGTCATGTCTGACCAGGTATAGTCATATCTGACCAGGTATAGTCATGTCAGACTCAAGTATAGTCATTTCTGACCGGATATAGTCATGTCTGACCAGGTATTCTCATGTCTGACCAGATATAGCCATGTCTGACCAGATATAGTCATGTCTGACGAGATATAGTCATGTATGTTCAGGTATAGTCATGTCTGACTCAGGTTTATTCTGCAAATGGCAGAAGTGATCACATGTGAAACAGATATGCACAGAGCTGGAAAACAGCTAGTGTCTGAAAATTGTATGATCAAATTTGGAGAAAAGTTCAGTATGGGTTATAATTGTATCGAAGAACTGCTAGATTAATGAAGAATGTGATCGTTTACATTGAAATACAATGTTTTTTAATTGATTATAATTGTTTTTAGATTATGCAAAGATTTATATTTGACTATTATAGAGTTTTTTGAATCGTTAAGAATTTTGTACTAAAATAAAAAAAAATCAAAAATAAGCGCTTGAAACTGGCACTAATTAAAAAAGTTGTAAGCTGAATTTTTGTTAGAAAAAACTTTCTATAAAATTCTTGAAAAAATCTGTTTAAGCTATACACGTTTGAGCTTGTTATTTTGCTAGAGTTTGTTCTTCTCAAACACCTAGCAGAACTCCTAAACATCTCAAAATAAAGTCAAACGCTGACCAGAGAGGAATTTGCCCTTCAAAAGATAACTAACCGAAGTTCAGTCGAAAATCAGAAAGCCGAATTAGTTGACAATAAAAACTAAGCACAACCCTCATTTTTTCCATAAAAACGTTATGATACTTCGAGATAACCTTCATTAAGGACACTCGAAATCGTTGAAAAACAGAACAAAATCAGACCGAAAATTGCAACAGGAACCAAAAAACCTTGCATAGTTTTGACTTCACATGCTGGCTCTTTCTCCTTTTCCCCAACCCCACATAAGCATCAGTTTTATGGTGTAATGAGGGTTTTTACAAAGTTTTATCTGAATATCAAATATGTTTGTCTTGGCCTAATTAGTTAGCATGTCAGTTTGCACATTTGTAACACTTGTAAGTTTTGCAGGTTAAGGGAAAGAAAAAAGAGCCCACATGGTATCTATAGGCTTTGCGTTTAGCCATAATAACACGTAGAAAACTGTAAAAACTACTGACAAATTGAAATCTGGAGGAGCATGGAGACGTGCCGGTAGAACAACCAGAACAACAGAAAATTTGAAGAGTATTGGGTAGTAAGCAAGAGCCCGAAACCTTACAGCGGGAAACTTGAATGAAGCATTTCTGATTCAACAATTCAAACATAATCAGCAGACAGTTAGAAAATGTCAAAAAACGCAAAGTAACAGCATTAAAAAAATTTTCTTGAAAAAAATTTTCATAAAAAAAATATTCAAAAATGCTTTAAGCTCTTCAAAGTTCAGAAAAAAAAACCTTGATTGACTCAAATTTAAAACATTGAAATGAGTTGAAGGAAAACGAATCAATAGGTGAAACTTGCATCTTGCTGGGAACTTTGAAAAAAAAAATTCTACTTTTGCAAATAGATTTCGATCAATTTTTTTTCTACCTTTTTACTTGTTATTTGGAAAGTTAGCTAAGTAGATGAAATTGAATCAAACTCAGTTTGGTCATAAGAGCAGTCCTAATTGAATTGATGTTTCAAAAAAAATTTTTTTGGTAAAATAGCAGAGTAACGTCGTCCTGAAAAGAAACGTCGTCCTGAAAAGAAACGTCGTCCTTTCAGAAAAGAAACGTCACCTAGCAGAACTCCTAAACATCTCAAAATAAAGTCAAACGCTGACCAGAGAGGAATTTGCCCTTCAAAAGATAACTAACCGAAGTTCAGTCGAAAATCAGAAAGCCGAATTAGTTGACAATAAAAACTAAGCACAACCCTCATTTTTTCCATAAAAACGTTATGATACTTCGAGATAACCTTCATTAAGGACACTCGAAATTGTTGAAAAACAGAACAAAATCAGACCGAAAATTGCAACAGGAACCAAAAAACCTTGCATAGTTTTGACTTCACATGCTGGCTCTTTCTCCTTTTCCCCAACCCCACATAAGCATCAATTTTATGGTGTAATGAGGGTTTTTACAAAGTTTTATCTGAATATCAAATATGTTTGTCTTGGCCTAATTAGTTAGCATGTCAGTTTGCACATTTGTAACACTTGTAAGTTTTGCAGGTTAAGGGAAAGAAAAAAGAGCCCACATGGTATCTATAGGCTTTGCGTTTAGCCATAATAACACGTAGAAAACTGTAAAAAACTACTGACAAATTGAAATCTGGAGGAGCATGGAGACGTGCCGGTAGAACAACCAGAACAACAGAAAATTTGAAGAGTATTGGGTAGTAAGCAAGCGCCCGAAACCTTACAGCGGGAAACTTGAATGAAGCATTTCTGATTCAACAATTCAAACATAATCAGCAGACAGTTAGAAAATGTCAAAAAACGCAAAGTAACAGCATTAAAAAAATTTTCTTGAAAAATTTTCATTAAAAAAAATATTCAAAAATGCTTTAAGCTCTTCAAAGTTCAGAAAAAAAAACCTTGATTGACTCAAATTTAAAACATTGAAATGAGTTGAAGGAAAACGAATCAATAGGTGAAACTTGCATCTTGCTGGGAACTTTGAAAAAAAAAATTCTACTTTTGCAAATAGATTTCGATCAATTTTTTTTCTACCTTTTTACTTGTTATTTGGAAAGTTAGCTAAGTAGATGAAATTGAACCAAACTCAGTTTGGTCATAAGAGCAGTCCTAATTGAATTGATGTTTCAAAAAAAAAAAATTGGTAAAATAGCAGAGTAACGTCGTCCTGAAAAGAAACGTCGTCCTGAAAAGAAACGTCGTCCTGAAAAGAAATGTCGTCCTGAACGAAAAAAAGTCCTGAACTATATAACAGCGGTTGTTTGTTTCTGATAAAACATTCTTGGGATAAAAAAACGAGGTTTTCGTTTTTTGAAAAAATCCATATCATACAATTTCCATATATGGAAATTGAATGACTGGCATTTTTTTTGATGGCGACACAAAAGTTTGCCTTAATTTTTCAAGTAATTTTGAAAATTTGCCCTATGTTGTTGTTTTTTTTTTCAACCGCAAATCGAATTTTGTACGCAAACAAATTTTTTCAAAAAAAGTGCATGCAAAATTTAAAATTTTGTGCATAACGTAATCTTGGATACGATAATAACGGCTCTTTTTTTCCTTTTAACTTAATATGTTTTATCGAAAACGCTAAAAACTCCAAGTTTTTTTGTATCGCGTGTATGTATGCCTTGATCAATGTCAAATATTTAAAAAATTCAAAATTTTAAAATAATCGTTGTTGAAAATTTTGCTAAAAAATAAAAGATTGTTACTTTTGTTGTATCATTTGTGAAAGACAGCTTTCAGATAGTTCAGGTAGTTTTCTATGCATTTAAATTCAAGACCTTCCATGATTTGGTGCTCTGAATATATTAAGGTGTTTGTCACTTTTGTTCGGTTACAAACACAGCCCAAAATTTTTCAGAAAATAAATTTAACAAAAAATCAATTTTTCGTTTTATGGAAAAACACCTATCATACAATTTTCATATATTGAAAAATTCTTATCGTAGAGGTTTCTTACAACTTTCTGTTCTTATGGAATTGTATGAAATTGTATGACAAGAAGTTTCTCATATATTGAAAATGTATGATAAGAAGTTTTAGTCAACCCGTGCAGTTTTCATAGAACACATTTCTGTTGTTTTTTTTAAAAGCTCCTTTCCAGTTCCCCACCCCCTTGAAATTCAGAATAAGAAAGTCTAATTTAAATGACTTGATATGTTATAAACTGCACTAAAATGTGTCAGAGAGAACAAGTGAACAAACTACTACAACACTTTTTAGATACATAATGCCACATGAACAATTTTTGGCTCTTTTCCAGTTCCCCCTTTCAAAAACCGAGTTTTTTGTTTGTTTTACGTGTTTTAGGGCTAAATGCTTGATGTTACGCTGTAAAGAATGATGAACAAATCTGTTCACAGTTGTCGATTTGTTCACCACTCCAAATTTCATTACACTATGACAAAGTTAAATACACTTTTCAAAATTGAATTTGAAAGGGGGTAAACTGGAAAAGAGCCCAACTTTTTAGCAGTTTTTTACTGATAATTTTAGATGGTGCAAACTTGAAAAAATCCCAAGAAACCCTAAATATTCATTAATAGAAAGTAAGCAAAAAACTGACCTCGAAATACTTGTTAACTGTTTGTAGCTCCTCTAAACTGCGTGGCATGAACATTTGGGAGTTCCTTAAAATTGCAAGACATAATATACTCAATTATACCAACCACTCCATCCCAGGCCTTCTCCCCCACCCGCCCGCCAAAACATCATAATCGAATATAAACTGTCTAAATAAAAGAAACGCAACCAAGCAACTTGCAGAAGCAGAAATCACAAAAAAAAACCTTTGAAACTTTGTGATCATAAAATCGTTTCATTCTTTTTGTGTGAGAACAAAACGTGAAAAGAACATTTTCTTCTCACTCTTGATTTGTAGCACAAAACAAAACAGAAATATGGCCGACAGTGAGCCCCTTGCATCAAAGAAACAAAATTCATACATTTTGATCCGGAAAAAATCCAGTAAGTACTGAAAACCTTCTTTTCATTTTTTGAGAGATGCTTCATTACCTCACGTTTTCTCGC